GAATATTCATCCTGAGGTAGTAGGTATGGTCCTCAAAAAGGAATTTATGCTTGCACGGTAAGATGATAGTAACGTTTACCGTCTCTGTTTACTCTTCTTTATGCAATAAAGAACTAGAGTGCACCTCCCGTTGATTTATCTATCAAGTTGAATTGGTTTGAGTAGGTTTCCTGAGGACAAGCAAAAGCCTAAGTGTGGGGGAGTTTGATAACACCAAAATTGGTGATATTTGTCCTTCATTAGGTTTGTTTCTTGCTAATTTTTGCGCACAATCGGAAGAATATCGTTGATTGCATCCCTATATTGTTCCTTTTTTTATTATGTTGCCATTCTAGTGTGCTTTAGACGATAAATATGAATTAGGTACGAAACGAGGGCACAAATATAGAGAAATGGGCAAGAATGTGTAGAAGCAAGGAAAGAAGCCAGAAATTACAAAGATCGCAACTGAAGGGGGACAAGTTCCCCACCTAGAAGCCTGGCCGCGATGTTTTCTCATAGATCGCGGGACAAGATCGAAGGATTTCGACCGTGAATCGGAGAGTTTTAGCCGCGAACTTTGGAAGGAAACGTCACTGGAAGAACAAAGAGTTTCCCCACTCGTCTCGCGGGATATGTTGAGTTCAGCCGTGAAAGTAGATCGTGGTCGCAACACGATAGTTCGCACCCGTGATCTTTCACCCACAACTCGCGAAAGTCCCCAAGAATTATAGCACCTATAAATAGTGGAGCTGTTGAAGGAAGAAAGGGAGAGTCAACCTAGAGTGAGAAAATTAGGGTTTTGGAGTGTTTTTAGAGAGGGAAACACCTCGGGAGAGCTTTATTGAAGATCCAATCCACCCAAGGAGCAAGAAGAAGGTGCAAGCAAGCAAAAAGTAGATTGATTCCATCACTCCCTCTCTTTTAGTTTGTGTTTTCTTTCTCTCTCTATGACTTGAATCTCTAATGGTTGTTTAGGGAAGATGAACCCTAGTTTATAGGTTGTGTATGTATGGGTTTTGAATAAATATATTTGTTTAGTTGATTTTAATGCTTCATCTAGCTTTAATTGTGCTTGGGTAAGTTGCTATGATCTTCTCTACTAACATACTTGAACTCTACGCTGGGTATGGAGTTTCAGGATTAGACGGGTATGCTCCATCTGGCATATTAGGGTTATATGAATGAATAGGGTCTTGTGGTGGACGAGGCGACCGAACCCCTGCCACAACAACGCCTTCCTAGATGGAACCTGAGATGAAACCTCAGTGTGGATGGTGGGTAGTACCCATTGAAAGGAGCTAAGTTCTTAAAGCCCCAGATACGTGAGCCTATACCAAGGAGACAATAGGATAGGTAGGGCATACTCGGAGGCGTGTGGATAATCACGAAGGCCCATGGAAAAGAACTCACTCACTATATTCTCTTAACCCTACATGAAAATCATAGCTAGGAGGATTTGACCCTAGGCAACCGTCTCATCTCTAGGGATCTCCCATCCACTTGGTTGGTTGTTTAGGAGTAGGTTAGGTTAGATTCTTCACCAAACCTTTGATTCGATTAGATAGTAGTTCAGAGCGGAGTAATAGTAAGCTTAGGGTTCCCTTGGAATACGACCATGCCACTTTACTACAACCCTAGCTAGGTTATGCTTGGTTTAGTTAGAATTGAATAGAGCGTGTGCATCGACTTATAAATTTAAACTCGTCACACAAGCGATCACAAAGAGAGAAAACAAACAAACTCATATGTTTATTCATTTGCTTTCTTTTATGTGTTTCCATGTTACTAACTTACTATATACTAGTTTTGTGTCTGCCCGGTGGGCGGTATATTTTATTGTTATTTTTTCAATAGCGGTAGGCTACTATTTCTCTTTGTATATAATTATGAAGAATTATTATTATTCGAGCTTTGTGTAACAGGAAGATTGTCAATATCATGCTAACCAATAAGAGTCAATACTTCATCATAATTTTGAAGATCATATTCACCATCATATGTTGTTTGACTGGCCAACAATTTTCAACTTTATATGTTGTACATATTTTTTTATTGGTATTTCCTTTTGTGGATCTATATTTTTTAGCCAAATATTATATGTGTTTTATTTTTGTTCATACACAATCGTGAATTATTTGCTTGATTTGACTAAACTGTCATTCAAATTGAATGATTAAACAATTTCGAATTTTAGCATATACTGTCGAGATAATTGGTATCGGTGTTTGTCATTTTTATTTATCTTGAAATGTATGGTACCAGTGTCCTCATATCGTCATTGAACACTTCATTCAACACTTCAATTCAATGCGCAATATTCCAACCAATGATATTTGCGTTGAGATTTTAAGATTATCCTTCATTTATAAGTTAGAAAAAATTATAAATTAATTATTAAAATATGAAAATAGAAGTATCAAACTCCACAAAATACTTACAGGAGACTTAGCGGGCTAACTAACTGTGATAGAAAAGTACTTTGTTTTTCATAATTTTCACTTCCTCTATGTTTTGTATTAATAAAGTACAACAAATGTGTCTAGTCTAATTGGTTACAATTCTTGTCTTTGGTGGAAGGGACCATGGTTCAAATCCTAGCATTGATATCTTTTTGGCAAAATACACTTGTAGTGTGACAAATCTAGCCAAATCCGTTAGAATCTTTAACGGTGTTAGAAACTCCGTCAGTTAGATTAACGTTAGGCTGACTAGGATGCCAAATCGTCGGACACATCATCAAATCATTGCCATGTCATTTTGAATTATAAAATTAATTAATTTTAAAATTAAAAAAAAATATTTTAATTTTCCCCTTCCCTGCCCCCTAACCATTGCCCCTTTCTTTTCTTCTTTCCATTATCCTTCCTCTGATCTCCCACCAACAGAATCCAATTGAAGAAAATCCAAATCCCACCAACATAATCCATTTCCCTTTCTTTTCTTCTTTCCATTCTCCTATATCTTCTGTTTGAATCCCTGGAGGAGGATCTAGTTGCCCATGAAATTGATTCAGCAAATAACCCCACAAGGAAAGAGCTAGCAAACCCAAATAAAAAAGAGACGAACTGAAAGGAGAAATTTTGAAGAGTGATCGACCTTGTAGAGAGGTTGATCGAGCTGCTGCGTGGTGAGAAGAAGCTCTCCAAAATCCCTTTCCCAGCAACAATCGTCTTCCCAATCCATGTTTCCCAGTGGCGGCGACAGCTGCAACTCCTCCACGAGCCTTCTTCTTCCCCTATATTCTCCGCTCTCTTGAACGCTGTTAGATTCGCCGCTTCGTCAGCGGTGGCCTCCAAAGCTCTGGCGTACTCCACCATACCCCGCCCTGTCTTCTTCCACAGGAAGGAGAAACCCAGCGACTGTAGGGTTCTTGCGGGAGGAAGCTGAAAAATCGCCATAGCGAGAGAGTAGAAGAGCGGCGGAGTAGTCTCAGGCTCCATCATTCCTCCTCGCGACGGCGGCGGCGATGGCCTCGGTCTACGAAGCCGTTGCGTGGTGGTCTGTCTCTTGATTTGACTACTCCAGCAGCCATGGATTATTAAAGAATCAAAGGATGCAGTGGTGAAAAAGGGATTGAGGATGAGTTTTCTAGATCTAGAGATTTGGGATTTTGGTTTTGAATGTTGGATTTGGGAATGGAGATCGTCGTGTGTCGCCGGTGTGGATTGAGAAGGTGGGGATCTAGAATTGAGAAGAGAGGGGAGGCATGCGGCGGAAGAGGAAAGGAGAGAGGGGAGAGAGAATAAAAAAATTAATTAATTTCTTTTTATTTTTGTTTTCAGTTAATTCCACCTATTGACAAGATATTGTCAACTCAGCATTTTTCGTTAGTCCTGTCATACCGTTATATAACACCGTTAAAGGGATGGACGGAATTGGCTATTTTTGGTTTTCGAATAATTATGGCTATATTTGTCACAAACGTGAAAGTTATGGCTATACAAGTGTATTTTGTCTATATTTTTATATGAAATAAAAAATGATTGTGTAGACGAAAATACCCTTCCTACTTTCACTCTCGTTACACGAAATTTGAAATGAAACAAATCAAACTCTTTAAAATGTATTATAAGTAGTTTAGATAGATGACTCCATGTCTTTCATTTCCAGGAATTCACTGGAACCCATCTAGCATGGTTGTCAAACCGGTTTCATGTCGGCCGGTTCAACTGGTACCGGTCAGCAAACCGGCTAGAAAGGGGCCGGTATTTAATTGTGGTCAAATCCGGTCAGATCCGATCAAATCCGGAAATTCCGGCCGGTTAGACCAGAAACCGGAATTTAATGTTACACACATTATATCCAAAAATAAACATCCTCCATAGGATTTGAACCAAGTACCTCATGTTCATTTTAGTTTAATTTATACACCAGTAGGCTATAAGCAATTTTGTTGTCTATATTAACCTTATATGTTATATATCTAATACTAAATTTTACACAAATCATTATAAACATTATTAAAATTCATTTAATAAAATTTATTTTTAAGCATCTAATTGTTTAGTATTAGTTACCAATTCTTAGCTATAAATTATTTTGTGTGAAATAATTCTTCTAATTGCTTTTTTATGACTAATTTATTTGGAATTGAGGATTTCCATTTTCCTCATGTATTTTATTAAAACCGGCACAACCGGCATGACTACTGGTTGTACCACAATCAGACCATTCCACTTACAAAACCGGCACACCGGTATAAACCGGTTTCACAACCTTACCATCTAGATTTTCTACTCTATTGTTATTATTATCATCTATTCTACCCCCCTTGATTCTCGCTTCAATCGTCCCAGAAGAAAGCTTGAAAATTAAAAAGCTAGGAACTTTACTGGCGAGAAGAGTTGACCCGGAAACCCTCTTTCCGTTCCTCTCTCCCCTCCCCCCTGAAAAAAACTCCGGCCAGTTATTTTTCCTTACATGTGAATGTGAAAGCTTACCTGCTGGTAAATTTACATTCCAATCCTCCTCAACTTCCATCGCTGTCGTAATTTAACGATTTTCCATCTCAGGTTTGCCTTTGCCGTGTTGGTTTTCGATTCCTCTGTTTCTTTCTGCAGCTCGTTTTAGTTACTTGCCAGTCAGTCCTTTCCTTTTAGTCGTCGTCACCAAAATAGAAAACCCACCACTGGTGAAATTAAAAAGCAATTCTAGATAAGTTTTCGGCGAGAGACAGGTAGCAATTGTTGTTGGGTCGATGGTCGGTTCTCTTTGAATCGGTCGGGGTTTTCCTTTTGTCCTCACTCCGCCGCCGTTTTGTGAATTTCCTGCTCTGTTTCCCTCCTCCGTCTGTAAGTCAACTAGGTGAAACTTCTATTCAATTTACAATCCTTCCCCAAGTAGGAGACTTCTGGCCCATCGGACCTATATATACACCGAGAACTACCAAAACCCAGATTCCAATTTCTTCTGGCTGGGTTTTTTCAAGGTTGTTTTTTCCTCGGGAAACAAACAGAGTCAATTACTTGTTAAAGTTCGCGTCTTTTCTCAATTCTTAATGGGAGGGAGAAGTTCGAAGGAGTCGGATGGTGGCAGTCGGAGGGAGTTTGTGTCTTACGATTCCTTCAACTACCGTCACCAGCCGCCGGCGTCGCCGTATCCCGAGTCGCAGCCGTACTACACGCCTCAGCATCCTCACGCGCCGCCGCCGTCGTCCGCGTACGGTTATGAACCGGAAAGGCCTCCTCAGCCGCAGAAGAAGTTGGATAGAAGGTACTCCAAGATTGCGGACAATTACCAGACTTTAGATCAGGTTAGTTCTCATCCATGATCAAACCAATCCTTTTCTTTTGATAGTGAAACTTTTGTATCTTTTGATTTATTGGGATTTGGGAGGATTGGATTGCCATGGGTCCAGTCGATTATTTGGACAGTGGAAATTTTTTCTTGTATGAGTGGTGAACATGGGGAGGAATATGCTCTGATTGTATCTGGTGAATCTGGAATTTTATCCAAGTTGGGATTCTGACCCTGTACTGTTCTGGAATCTAAAGGATTGATAAAGATGTGAACTTTTTCTAGGGGTTTTGACTAAAGAATCAAGAACTGCTGTATCTTTTTGTTTGTGGCTCAAGTTATATCTTTTTTGGAGGATTTTGACTAAATGATAGGAAACACCGCCAGAGAATGGATTTGGTGCTGGAATGGTGTGAATGATTCTTGTTTGTAACTTGCAGGTTACTGCTGCACTTGCTCAGGCTGGGTTGGAATCATCTAATCTCATAGTTGGCATTGACTTCACCAAGAGCAATGAATGGACAGGTTGAGCCTCTTTGTTCTTATCTCATGTTGTTTTCAATATGTTGTTACTCTTGGAAGAATGCTTGAGGTGTGGTTTACTTCAGGTGCCAGGTCATTCAACCACAAGAGCTTGCATCACATTGGCAACGCTCCAAACCCGTACGAACAAGCCATATCCATCATTGGAAGGACTTTGTCTGCGTTCGACGAAGATAACCTGATTCCTTGTTATGGCTTTGGAGATGGTAAGATGGTGACAGAGTATGCTCAGTAGGTTTCTATAGTCTGATGAAATGGAGAATGTATTCAAATATTTATTTGTTCTCTTGTAGCTTCGACACATGACCAAAATGTGTTCAGTTTCTACCCGGAAGAGAGATTCTGTCAGGGCTTCGAAGAGGTGCTGTCACGATACAGAGAAATTGTTCCTCAGCTTCGACTAGCTGGTATAGGCTTCTCTTCACTCTTTCTGTTTATCTCCTTTATAACATTTTTACAGTTCTTGATCTCAGTTCTGCCTTCTAAAGCTGCACTCTTGTACCTTCTTGTTGACAGGGCCGACGTCATTTGGACCAATGGTTGAAATGGGCATCAGCATTGTTGAGCAAAGTGGTGGCCAGTACCATGTCCTTGTCATTATTGCTGATGGTCAGGTAATCCAGCATGTCCGTCTGATATCTGTGTCTAGTTAATGCTTCATGTCCAAATTGCTTATGTACTTTCTTCACAGGTTATATCCGAGTCTAGTTGATGCTTCATATCCAAATTGCTTATGTACTATCTTCACAGGTTACACGGAGTGTTGACACTGGGCGTGGCCAGCTCAGTCCTCAAGAGCAGAAGACTATCGAAGCAATTGTCAAAGCGAGGTAAGTAGCAAAAGCCCCACTTCTGGTAAAAAGAATGAAAGAAATGAATGCCTAACCAACGTCTCTTCTGCTTTTGGTAATATCAGTGAATACCCTTTGTCGATTATCTTAGTCGGGGTTGGTGATGGACCTTGGGATATGATGAGGGAATTCGATGACAATATACCTGCTCGAGCCTTTGATAACTTCCAGGTAACCATTTAATCGTACTCTTGAACGTGATGATATAAACTTCTGGATTCCTCTTCTTTCAGCTGAAGCAGTTCGAATTTCCTTTTGTTTTCTGTAGTTTGTGAACTTCACAGAGATCATGGCCAAAAATGTTAACCAAACAAGGAAGGAAACAGAATTTGCTCTTGCTGCATTGATGGAGATCCCCGCTCAATACAAAGCCACTCTCGAGCTCGGCTTATTAGGGTAATTACACAACAGAACACATTTTTAATAGTTTCATGTTTGATGTTCTTCTGTGACTAATGTTTGTTTTTATTATTCTCTGATTATCAAATTGCAGTCGTCGAAAGGGGAGTGGTCCAGAGAGGATAGCTCTACCTCCGCCACAATATGGCAGATCTTCCCATGGGAGCAATTCTAAGCCCTTCCGATCAACTAGTTTCCAGCAGCAAGTGCCTTCTTATCCGGAATATAGCTCACCATCAGCCAGTTATAGTGTGCCACCGGTCAGCTCAGCTCCACAATCGAGTTCTGATTCTGACAACAAGGTACAAAAGACAGAGAATTGAATTGATCACTTGGTCTATACATCGACCTGTTCAGGGTGTTTATTGAAGCTCATTTGAAAGGTGAAAGGTGCTAACTTTCTTGATTTTTTCTCTTGGGTAAAACACAGGTTTGTCCCATTTGTCTTTCCAATCCCAAGAACATGGCTTTTGGCTGCGGCCATCAGGTAAGATAGCTCAACACTTCTCCGTGCATCAATTCATAAAAAATCCCATTGATTTTGAAGGCACCACGTTGGTTAAACTTTGATATTCGTTTGCCTGTGCTGTAGACTTGTTTTGAATGCGGAGAAGACCTGCAATTGTGTCCCATTTGCCGGAGTCCGATACAGACTAGAATCAGGCTGTATGGATAAAAGATCTGTCAGCAATCCTGAACTCGCCCAAAACTTACGAACTTAAGTAGAGGCGAGAAGATAGTTTTTGGAGTGTACAGATAGAGTCGCGATTTCCCCCCCACCCCCCATCTTATGGTTCTTGTGTTCCTTGAACCACAACACCACAGGAATGGAGGAGATGAAGCTTGGAACGACCCGGTGTCTGATGATGTGATGTTGGACTGCCAATGGTAGATGCCTGTGTGTTTATTATTGCATTTCATTGTGGGTTTTGTGCATAATTAAACGTAGTTGGTTAGTAGAATGGAGTTTCTTATCTCTTGAGATGTTAGGGATGATTTGGATGAGGGGTTCTTTCTGGTGGGTAGAAGAGAAGAGATGGAGGTGGCGCTCTACTCCCAACACCCATTCTTTCATTATTTTTCTTGCCTTATTGTTTTTTTTTTCCCTGCTTCCCCTAGTCTGTGAGAAGATTTTCGAATGTGATTTGGGTAAATTACGCCACCATGTATGTGAATATTCATTTTGCTGGTGCTACCGGTTCCAGTTCCAGTGGTGGAATTTTGGTCATTAGGTTTGATGCTGCTGGTTTGTGGAACCCTTGTTGCATACAGATTCATCGTGAATACCATTTTCATTTCCGTAACTCTAGGGCTGTTAATGAGCCGAGTTGAACCGAGCTTTCTCTTGTTCAGGTTTGGTTCATTTATAAACGAGCCGAATTCGAGTTCAGCTCGTTTGTGGACGAGCTGAGTCGAGCCGAACATGATCCAGTTCATTTATTGAATCTTATCTCATCATTAAGATAAAAATTTTGACTCGAGCTAAACTCTAAGATAATTTATGAATTAAATACCCTAATGTTTATGTTAGAGACATATTTGTTCACATACTCAAATTACATGACACACGAGGTGTGATATACAATTGATAAATATATGCATCATTAACATACCAACTCATAAGATATAGATCGATTTTATCACAAGTCGTAATCAAGTTGGTTCGCCAGTTACAATGTTGAGACATCTCATGAGTTCAAAATGAGATAGTTCATGAGTAGTACTCAACAAGCCGCATAATTGAATTAGTTCACGAGCCTCACGAGCCAAACAAAGTTGAGCTCAAGCTCGGCTCATTAATAAACGAATCCAACTTTTATTGAATCGAACGAGCTTTTATCGAGTTTGAGACCGAACCGTTTGCGAATAGTTCGATTCATTAACAGCCCAACGAAACTCCAATGACCAGGCTTACTACTAGTACTAGCTGGGTTTTTTCTGCAGCGTCGGGTTCATTGTTGGGCTTTGCGTCTCTTAAAGGTGAAGTGCCCCTTCCTTCTCTTGGGACAGATTCTCTATACATGTATTGGTTAGGGAAACGAATAAAATTCATCGTCGAAAAACTTATCAACTTTGTTAAAATAAGGGTTATAGGTATAATATGTCCCTCTATTATAATGCTTTATCAAACATGTTCATATACTATTTTTTACATCAAACATACCCCTGTTCTTTGAAAAAAATGATCAAACATGCCCTTCTGTTAAAATTTCCAATGAAAAAAACGTCAATCATGGTTGAACCGAGATTTAGGCAACCCGACATCGGCAAATGGGAGGGGAAATGTCAGTTTTATCCCATTTGATTTCTCTGGATATCTTCAAAGTGAAATTATTTGGCTATACAAAATAACCAAAATATTCTATAGTGAAATTATTAGGGATATTTTAGACATTTGTGTCACCAAGTCAAAGTTCGACCTTGGTTAACGGTTTTGGATGGAAAATTTAATAAAAGGGCATGTTTGATCATTTTTACAAAGTATAGTGGCATGTTGGATGTAAAAAATAGTAGATGGGCATGTTTGATAAAATATCATAGTAGAGGGGCATATTATACCTATAACCCTTCAAATAACTAAAGCAAAATACACTTGTATAGCAAAAAATTCACACTTTATGACAATAATAGCCAAATTTTGAAAACACACCTTTGTAACCACATTTCTTAAACTAGTATGACTAATTTAGCCATTTTCGTCAAATAATTTTACACCATCAATAACACCCTTAGTTAAGTGGATGCTATGCTTACATGGCTGCCACCTGACTACCACGTCATGGCCACCTAGACGTCCTTTGCCACATAATCGCCACGTCATATAAAATAGTACTCTTTAATTATGTTAATTAAATAACTAAAAAGTCATCTTCCCCATATTCCTTCTAGTGATGGCAATAACATTCATAACCATGGATATCCTCCCGAATCCGACCTAATTGGATAGGGTAAAACCCGAACCCGAAGGACTTTTAATGGGTACGGGTAAAACCCGAACCCGAATATTGTGGGTAATGGGTGGGCATGGTTTTCTCACTATCCAACCCGAAACCCGCCCAATTATGCACGTGCATGTATATTTTATCTAGAAATAATAATTTTTCTCTAACATATTTTATATTTAGCATACAAATATAATATTTTCATGAAATTGTGTTGTTTTAATTAATTTTCTTCATTTTAATGACTTATTGTTATACAATTCTTTCTATGTAATGTGACTATATGTGTGAATGTTAACATATTGGTGAGAGTTTTAGAGACAAATTATTACCCATGGATAACCGTGAATACCCGAAACCCGAACGGGTATGGGCACAATTTTGATTTTCTACCCATTTCTTATGTGGGTGTGGGTATAGGTAAAACTCGAACTACTTCGAGTAGGGTAACAGATATACACTATCCGTCCCCGACCCGACTCATTGTCATCCCTAATTCCTTCCCGTCTTCGATTCCGACCCATTACATCCCACCGTCGGAGATTCCCTCCAAGTTAACGACGCCGCCGCCTTGCTCCCCACCTCTCGCATCCCGCTCCCGCCGTGTTCCCCGCCCTGTGGCTTTCCCTGCCGTTGCCGCCCTCATCCTTCCTTCCACCTTGTTCTTCGTATAGATCTGCATATCGAAACCCCTAATTCTTTCGTCCCTTCCAAATCGAAAAATCATGCCATCGTCGTCCTCCCCAATCTTGTTTTCCCTACTCAAACAATCTGTCCCTTTCAAATCTCTATTAGCTACATCCTCAATCGGATCCAAGTGGAGTAGACGACGATGGTGGTGGCTGGTGGCAAATTTGATAGCCAAGATTGATTGGGGAGAGTTCGGCTGAAGAATTGGAATATGGACGAGTACCAACAACAAGCTCGTCGACTAAAGATCCTAGGTTCACGGAGGAAGGATATATCCATAGCACTGCCGGAGAGATTGAGAGCCTTTGTGGCTGGAGTTCGAGGTGGCACCGGTCGCACCCTTTGCGCCGTTTGGAGCAGAGGCAACGACGGATGAGACTGGAGCGGCGATGCGTTCCCCTTGAAAGCGAGGACTAGACGCGCAAGGGTATTTGATCAGCTGGGTTTCGGCCAGGACGGGGTAATTGGGATTTCGGAGTGACGATGGAGACAATTGACGACTAGGGATTAAGGATCTGGTCGACGATTAGGGAAATAGGGATTGGGAATGGCCAATGCTGGAACTCGAAACAATCAAGGCGGTGAGGTCAGAGAAGAGAATCGATCGTTGTAGATGATGATGGGACTCGAGGTTCTTGTGGTCCCTTGAATCAATTTCAGGGAATCCTCTCGTAGAAAATAAACTTGCCATGTCAACCACAACCGTTTGTCCAGTCAGCAATCGTGATAGAATCGTTAAGTTTATAGACGGAATTGCTATATCTGTGTATTTTTCAAAATGTGGTTATTATTGTCACAACACGAATAGTTATGGTTACGAATATGTATTTTGCCAATAACTAATAACTTTGTTATCACTAATAAATAATTAGCTATTGAGTTACGATTCTATGAACTTCTTAGCTATTTTTTGTTGTTAAAAGTTAAGGGGTCGTATGGATGGATTAATTGTCAATGTGGTATTTGTAGAATCAAATAACTCATTAATTGTTTATGTGGTATTTCAGTGGCAATTGGAATAAAGTATTTCGTTTGGTAGAACCATGCAAATGTGGTATTTGACATGTGGTATTTGGCAAAAACTGAGTGGTAAAATGAGTTATTTCGAAATAACACAGGGGTATGAGTATTTCAAATAACTCACTGTCCAAATAACTCGTTTAAGTAAAATGCTGCCAATAAACGAGTTATTTGTGTCTAAATAACTCATGACATACTCCATCCAAATGAACCATAAATAAGTTATTAATCATTTGAGTTAGAGTGTAAAAGTGTTTCACACCGTTATTTCATTCATCATATGTTATACTAATCAGTGGTGGATCCAGAACATAATAGAGCACTTGGCCTCGTTTCATTAGAAAATTAGATATAGTAAAAAAAACCATAGTTACCTTTACAATGTCAATTGTGCAGACGGTCTTTTAATTCAGCGAATTCATCAATGATGGAGTTTTCCTCCATACCAATAGCATACTCTCTTCAAATAAAATAGTTACCAATTAGCAATAAATCCATCCCTCATATTGTTGTGCCAATAAGTTTCACATATTTCATTGTTGTAAAGGTTCTCTCCATAGTAGCTGCTAAAATGGGCAACATCAACATTAGGGGTATCAACCGATTTAATCAATTTATATTGTGTGTCCATCCCTATTTCCACCAGCTTCTCTATTAATTTTGCAAAAGAACAAAACTCATATTTCTTTAAGTCTTTGCGTTTTAGAATAATGATTTGAATATGTTCCCCTGAAACATTGTTCTAATCACACAATCTTATTATCAAATAACACTAGGTCGAATGTCTAAAATCGAAAAAATTCATAATTGCTATACCAGCTACGAATCTAAAGGAGGGTTGGGCCATTGCTCGGGGTGACCACCCCCTCAAGCCACCATTGTTAGTAATTGTTGTTTTTTCTTCCGGCATCTAAACAATCTTGCACAATACTTAATCAAAATAAACACTAAACAAGATCCCAACATCCATCTTACATCTAACGTCTTCTTAAATCTCGATAAGAACACAAAGCATTATACATATTTCTAGCTACAACACAAATACAGTCAATTCGACATGGTGACGAGCTGGCAGTTGGGATCAAAACTCCTCTCTTCATCTACAACGGCAGATCCAGGGGGCCGCACTTTGGATCAAAGCTAATATAGCACTTGTAATTTTTATTATTTTCGATAATCATTTAAGTGTTCGTCGAGTTACGGTCCAACCCATTCCACCTCTTTTCAAAATATGGCACCGTGCTATATCCAGTCCTGTATCCACCGCTCTTCATCCATCGTCAACAAGTAAAAGAAAAGTTCAACTGAACAGGATAATAATTACAAATTTGTCGTGTACACTACAGACGTACACAGTACACTTACTAACGTTTATGCATGTGGTTTGATTGGTGAGGTATTTCTAATTACATATACGTATATTATTACACCCACTCTTTCCCCCTTTTTCCGACGACTACGGGATACAAACACGACTATACAATTTTTTTTGGTGAGGTATTATTACTCGTCCTTGAATTGGACGTCTATCTTTCTTTCGACTCAAGGACGAACACGCTTTAAATAGGATGTTTGATTTCATCAAAATTGTTGAATGTTCTAATATTATGCCAAAGATCAATCAATTATAAAGGTAATGGGAAGATCTCGAATGTTACGTAGCTATTTTCTGTGACTTGATATGTCCGTTCGTTTTCTCTTCATGGCAAGTGGTATATGACTAGGGGTGGGCAATCGATTGATCCATACGGGACAAACCGAACCAAACTGATGTTTGGAGTGGAATACACCAAATCGAATATAATTTGGTTCCATGAATTTTATAAGTATTGAAGAAAAATGGAAAAAATTAACATTTGGACCGGATCAAAGTGGACTAAAGCAGATCGAATGCACTACTGGTCCGGTCTTTGGTCTTAAGATATCTTTCACTATTGGCAGTGGCAGACCCATGATTTTAGGATAGGTGTGTCGGCTAATAAAAATAATTTAAAATAATTAATTTAAAATAAACATAAAACTTTTATTCATAAAGTTCACCAATTGCATTATTTTTTTACAGTGGACCACGACGAGTTTTCATATTTTAACAAATTTCATAATTACATTTGTCCATTAGGCTGCAATCAAATCTTTTTTATGTACATGATTAAACAATTATTCATAACTGGTCACTCACCTTATACGAAAGATTGTTCTTGATTAAACTCATATATGGAAGATGTCATTTTGTAGCTTGTAGTTGCAAGAGGTAAAGTCAAAACAAATTTAAGATGAGAAAGCTAGTATGAGTATTTGGAAGGGTGGCCATAAGCGTCAATATGGAAGTTTGAATAAGGATGTCGCCAACTCGAAATCGATAATTGGAGTGTGGCGACAGACGTCGATAATTGGAGTGTGGTGAAAGACGTCAACATGAAAAGAAATAACTAAATTAGAAAGCAAGTTGAAAATTAACTTAAAAGAAAAATCTATGGAAGAAAAGCTATGGGAGAAATATAGTCTGGAACACTATCTAGTTACTTGACTTTACCTAACCTGAAGTCCGATAACTCTTACATATACATATTATAATAAAATTATGACAACAAAATTTCTCTTGTGCAATAAGATGTGTCGGTTACAATTATTAGAGGTGTGTCGGAGGTTGCGTGTTCGAATTTTTTACACCGAAATAATGTGGGGTCTTCACAAAAATTTCGAACCAAGGTGGGTCCGCCCCTGACTATTGGACCGCGGTTTTCCCGAGTTTGGTTCGATTTGGTCTGAAACTGACCGATGCCACCCCTATATATAATATAACACTCTAAATGTGCTTGTATGAAAAAATTAGTAAAATTGTTGATATGACTTGAATCGGATTATCAGCCGCTACGACTGGTAATCGGGGGTCTCGCACGGTGTATGGGCTCAATGTTATTTGGGTTCGGGTTCTGGGCCTGGTCTGTAACCATTTCCTTTGCCAGATTGGATTAGGTTTAGACCCACATGGAGAAGTATTATAAATACTTCTCATACTCTTCTGTAATCTGTAATCTCCTTGATATAGTGAAACTGGCTCTCTCTCGCCCGTGGACGTAGCTAACACACATCGTGTTAGTGAACCACGTAAATCGTGTGTCGTGTTTTCGATTCTTGCTTTCTTATTCTTGCTTTGTCGATTCCTGCTATTTCCCGATCCGTAGCAGCGCGTTTATAACAAGTGGTATCAGAGCCTGGTTGGAAATCAGGCTAGGGTTTTTCGATTCAGAAGAATGACGTCGGTGAACATGAAGATCGAAAAGTTCACGAGGAAGAACAGCTTCGCTATATGGCAGATCAAGATGCAGGCTTTATTAAAACAGCAAGGGTTGTGGGGGCCGCTGTCTGCGAAACAGAAGAAGACAGCGGTCGATGACGATGAGTGGAACACCCTGGAGGAGAAGGCCCACTCGACCATCATGCTATCGTTGTCTGATGATGTCATCATTGAAGTCGCTGCTGAGAAGACTGCCGCGGGCTTGTGGTTAAAGTTGGAGAGTCTGTATATGACGAAGTCCTTAACCAACAAGCTGCATCTCAAGCAACGGTTGTTCAGCTTGAGGATGCAAGAAGGTACGCCTTTGAGGGAACATCTCGAACAGCTTAACTCTATTTTGCTGGATCTGCGTAATATAGATGTTCAAGTTGATGACGAGGATGCTGCCCTAATCCTGCTGGTTTCTTTGCCGAGTTCATATGAGAATTTCGTTGATTCTTTTATTGCTGGTAAAGAAAGCGTGTCGTTGGAGGATGTCAAGTCTGCTCTTCATACGAGAGAGATCAGGCATAAGGCGTCTGGATCTGGTACAGGTGGTGAGGCATCAGGTTTGGCTGTTACAGGTGGAAAGGGAAAGAAGAAATCTGGTAAAGGGAATTCGAACAAGAATTCCAAGGGTCCCGGTCCATAGCTAGGTGATGCTTGTCACAACTGTAAGGAAGTGGGGCATTGGAAGTACAACTGTCCCAAGAGAAGAGGGCAACAGAAGAAACAAGGTTCAGTTGCCGTGGCAGAAGTGGACAACAGTTCTGAAGACGATCTCGCCTTGGCTGTAGATGAGAAGGCACATCGTGGGGATGTGTGGTTTCTGGATACTGCAGCCTCATACCATATGTCTCCGAACAGGAATTGCTTCACAACCTACGAGCAGATAGATGGTGGTAGCGTGGTCATGGCTAATGGAGCTGTCTGCAAGGTTGTTGGAATTGGGTCCATAAAGGTTCGGACACATGATGGTTCGTTCTGTACCGTGAATGATGTCAGGCATGTTCCACGAATGACAAAGAACCTGATCTCCTTGAGTCTACTCGACAGCAAGGGTTTCAGTTTCATAGGAAAAGGTGGAGTTGTGTATGTCTGTAAAGGTTCAAGGATGGTGCTGAAGGGCGTGAAGCGTGGGACCTTGTATGCATTACAAGGGTCTGTGTTGTCTGGTTCTGCTGTCGTTGCATCGTCTCAGGTTCATCAGGAAGATATGACCACTCTCTGGCACATGAGACTGGGGCATATGAGTGAACGGGGGATGCAAGTTCTGTCGAAGAGGGATCTTCTTTGCGGGCACAGGATGCAGAATTTGGAATTCTGCGAGCATTGTGTGTTTGGGAAGCTACATCGCAGCAAGTTTCCCAA